ACTAGATAACATTATACTCATATCTAGATAACATTATAACGCAACTGGATAACACTCTTATAAGAGTGTTATCCAGTGTAATGCTAATATCGTTTTATAAATATGGTATTATTATTATAAATGGGCATCAATTTTCAAAGCACATCATGTTGAAATTTGTGTTGGAAATTACTAATTACAAAAAAACGCCTTATCTTATTTTGCAGGTTTATTTGCATCAGCAGGAAAATCAAATTATTCAGTATCAGTTGCATAATACCTTGGAATATTAGCTTAATATCCAAAATTTGAGGAGAAACTAAAATGTGCTGCATCAATTAAAATTGATAATAAAGAAAAATGAAAAGGTCATTATTTTGCATTTGATGAGACGCTTGAAACATTTGGAGTTAAATTTATAAAGCAAAATATTACTAAAAATGTAGTCAATGTGAATAATCTAAAATTGCAAGTCAAATCTGCCCAGAGCAAACGAGATTGTATAAGAATCTTATTATCAGAGTATCTTAATGATCCTTGTGGACCAATTGGACAAAAGCCATGAATACTCGTAAAACAGTTGTGTGAAACCTAGTATATGAACTTTTAAAAGTATTTTGCCATTCGGATGATTATAACCGTTATCAAAACCCTTTATGGAGTACTACTTCCTCCAATCAGTTTACAGCTGCCGGTATTGCATGTCTTGGTAATTGTTTTTCTGATGGAATTCTAAGAATAGAAACAATTTTTTTACAAGATGTTATTTCAAAGCAAAAAGGTAATAAAGTTAGAAAAAGAAAGTTAGGAGTTACCAGATGGAAACCTAATGACCAGAACTCAAAAAAAAAGAAATCTTCTAAAATTACTGTTACATCAATATCTGATCAACAAATACCAATTGATTCAAGAAACTTAGTAAATCAAAGTGAACCGCCAAGAAAAAAGTAAAGACAAACTTGTTGTAAAACCAAACCTGAAGAAAAAAAGCTCTTAGAATCATTGATAACTTGTTCTAAATATCTAACTAGTAATCAATTAGATCAAGTTAAAAAAGTATTAGGGGATGAATGAGATAAAAATCGAATCTATCAATATATATCTCGCTATAGAAATAATAAAAAATAAATAGCTAATTTTTTATTGTATTTTGTCAAGGAAAATTCAGCTTTGATATATTTGTTCTTATTATATGAAAAAATAAAGCTATTTTTCATCAAAAAGTGTTATTATATATAGTTTGATAAAGTGATTTTACCAAAAGGTTCGTTAAAGGCAAAGAACATTTGGTACTTTTTTTTTAGCTTAAAAACTAATAGCAAAAGAATCTGAAGTTTTAATATCAAAAACTAAGCGGAATTGCTGGTAGAATAAAATGTTATAAAAAATTGGAAAGGTAAAACTTCACTACTTTTGAATAGAAGAAATGCTGATAAAAAAATGTATTAAAATATTAAATGCATTAATATTGCGACTTGAAATATTTTGGACTTTTCAGATGAAGGTTACACAAAATTTTTTAATTATAATCGGCATTGTAAAATAGATATGCATACTGACTGATAGTGCTGCATGTAATGCTATATCTGCTAATGTGAAGAAGGTGGAAAAAAATATTATCTTGAGGACAAAATCTGGTATAAACGATGATGGTGGTAGCTTTCAAAATCCTATTGTTATTTTGAAGGTTAGTATTATTTTTTTTTGTTAGTGCGTAATGTTTGTATTCAAAAGCAATATGCTACAATAAATCGAAATATAAATAAAGGATGAAACTGGAGCCTTCACTCCTGCTAACGGTGACAATGATTTGAAAAGAAAGAGAGAGGATAATGAATCGAATGAAGAATTAGCATCATTATTTGATGAATCTAATGAAGACGCCCTTTTGGAAAACATTAATGAAAAAGCACTAGAAAAGGAAAAGCAACTACTCTCAAGTAATGATAGATTCTCAAAGGTAAATTCTAGTGTTAATAATAGTGAACATATATTTAACAAACTAATTATATCTTAACAGAATCCATCATATATGTGTGAAAATGTAATCAGATCTTTCGTTAAATATCAGAATTGTATCTCTAAAACCTGTAGAGTCATCATGTAAGTTTGGAATTATCTTATTATAGTTTCAGTAATAGCCTGACTATTGATACATTCTACTATCCAACAGCCCTACTTATTGGAGAGTATTATATTTGACCAGAGAAAGCCTGTACGATTGTAAACAGTTCACTGCAGAGAACATATTGCAATTGTCGCAGGATTTTGCCGATAAGATTAAATAGAAAATAAAGCCTGCGAAAAAAAATATCATAGATTATTTTGATAATGAATGTACAAAAAAGGTATACGGTATTAAAAAATTAGACGTAAATATCTAATTTATGTACATATAAGCTTTCTTTGCTTCTTTGGTTATATTTTGCCATTCAGTTATAGTATTAATTCTCGACTGCCAATATAGGAAAAGCAATATGTATACCTTTCAAAACACGATGACAGAAGAAAAATTGAAAATGTGCTTGACCTTTCTATTATTTTGTGGAGTTTTTACCTCTGATCATATTAAAAATGTTTGGTAGGTTATTTATCTATATTTGTTTTTTTTGATTGATAATTAGAATTAATATTAGCTATTCTCTATATATAAGGGGAGAAGTTCAGACTTTACCTACTAATAACGTATGCAATAAGAAAGGAAGTCCTTTTAAAAGAGCGTGAGTAGGCAGGCGAATCAATATAAAAAGTACTTTAGTTAAGATGGCCAATAAATTTGAAGTTATATACGAAGAAGTTGCAGAGGGATTAGGACCTCTTGGTATACTAACTGCTTACTGTAAGGAGAGGTACCTTGATAAACTAAAGCTAATGATAGTTATGCATGATGGTATCAACCGTTTGCTAAGAGAATGCAAACATATACTAAATGACAAACGTACGAGTGTAATCATATATAGCTGGCTTCAAGTTAGTAAGTCTTGTAAGATGTATCACCATTAAATTTATTCAGATTAGACATTCTAGTTAATTTCATTATATGCATAGGACTTGAACTCAATTTTTATGCAATAGACTGGTGTGGAGCTGGAATATATAGATTTAGAATGGTCGACTGTTACAGGTTACCATCAGACGATAGTGACTGCGGAATGTTTGAGGATGCATATTGTATCCTCAAATTACTTAAAGTAAGTAACACTGACTGCTCTTTATTTATGATAGTTACTACAAATATTTATTTTATTGATTTATGTCGGAAAGATCACTTGAAATGAAAAAAGTAGTTAAAAAGTTTTTTTTAAAAAACACATAGAGAAAGTGACGGCATCTTATACCTGAAAATGAAGCGAAGTTAACTGAAACCCACATTCCAAAAAAATAAATAAGTTAAGGAATAATATGACGTGCTTAAGGATTTTTTTCAGGAGATACCAAATGACATTATAAAAAATCTTCAAGGCGATTTTACAAGAATTTCTAATCTATTTTTAGCATATTGAATTCTTTTTCTGTTGACAAATTCTTTCATAGTATTAGCTAAATATATATATTCGCTTATTTTATGCAATGCTATATTCAAATTTGCAAAGGCTTATTGGTAAAATTTGTGCATGGTGTACTCAAAATATATTTATCATTGTATTATAAAAATAAAGTGCCATTTCTTTGAAAAATTTTAAACTAAATATTAGTAATATCGTACAGAAGTACTATTTGAAAAAGTTAGTGCCAATACAATTATCATGTATTTAAGATTTCTCTCATATAATACACTTAAAGTTTTGCCCAAGTTATTATTTCCAAGAAACGATATGGCAGAGAAAATATACTTGCCTAAAAGTATCCATTTCTCTCCAGTGGAGTTAATAACTTATTTTAACAATAAAGGTTGCTCCGTAATGACTTTGGTAACATTTCATCTAAATTCATTTTAATCAAAACCTCCATTGAAATGAAATGATCCAACGTTATGCAATTGCTTAAAAGCATCTTCACTAGTAAAGTAATTAGTATTTTCTTGATCATTTATTTTTTCTGCAATCTCGTTCTAAAAGAGATACTTCTTTTTATTTATAGTAGTGTGATACTCTGCATTTCTATTTTTTCATTCGTCAATAAGGATGCGAAGTTGGGTATCAGAGAACTCCATAGTTGATTTTTTACATGGTGAAAAGATTCTCTAGGTGGTAGTTGTTATAAAAAAATATCAAGTGATGTGTTAGGACCATGACGAGGTAAATTAATTAATCAATGTAATGAGTCAATAGATCAAGGGTAGTGAAATCTGATTGGCAGATCCTCGTGATTTGAGTTGCAGAAAGGTTGTGAGAAAGTGCTGGGAACTGTCTAGGAGTCAAGGTGATACAAATTTTTATGTTATACTGCAACGCCTCTGGCTAATCCCTGTTAATCACGAGAGATCTACAAATCAAAAGTAACGGGAGAGCGCTGGAGACTAATGAGGTGTTGGAAAGGAGTCTGGTGTATCATAATACAATGATGATCAAGAATAAAAAATAATTTTTATTTACTAACATGTAGTCTCACAAATCAGTTATAGCTACAGTAGGAGAACAGTGTACGACATAAATTAACATATTTTTGATCCTCATTAAAATATATACCGTTAAGATCTTTAATGCACATTCCGCATGTCCTTATTCTCAAAAAAATTTGGCATAAAGTGCTTTGCATATTTTTCCTATCTCTTTCTCAAACATGAAAAAAATGAGAAATGGTGGCATTTAAAAGGGCAGTATGAAAAATTTATGTTCAGGTCGCTTATTCTATATTAACAACATCAAACTATGTTTTTTGAACTATACTAGAAAATTTACAATTTTTTAGTAACTACTAAGCAAGAACACATTACTGTCACCTCGGTCATTTATCAGGAAATAGAAGAAGATTCCTGGATTTCACAAAATGATTTAAAAAGCATTGTAGACCAAGCCATAGGGTTTGCTAGTAATCTTTATACTGAAGAACTTTCGTGTTAATTAAAACTTTTCTAAATACTTCCTTAGGTTAGTTATAAAGCTTTACTAATATTTCTTTTCCACTAAATGATGATATTATGTGATCCACTCGTACAAACAAGATCTGAAATAATAGTGTATTCATCTTATTAGCCTGCATCTAAAGGAACTATTTCTTGAACTACATGGAGGATGTATAAACTATTACTTATATTTTAATCATTCTATTAGCTCTGTCCCAGGAATATTTCTCAATTTATGAGGTGGTGATTATTCTGTAAGATATTATGTATTTATTTAGTATCACACAAGGTTTCATTAGCATAATGGCTACACTAAGATAATAACTTTTGTATATGTACTGATAGCGTATGCGTTTTTTTAATGATGAGATTATTATATTACTGAAACTAACGCATTATCTAATTATATTAGTTTGAGATTACTTTTGAAGGAGTCTGCAGTTTGCATGATATAGGAGTAGTTAGAATGAATAAAAAAAGATTTCTTAACTCTGATGAGATTGAAAAAAATATAAATGAATTGAAAGGCAAACTCAAAAAAAATACAACGATGCTGATTAACCAGCATCTATACTATGGTATAAATAGTGTGAATATTTATGAATTATAATAGATGGACCCTTTAGCTAGTCAAGTAATTTCTGACAAGTCAGAAGTTGTAAAGAAGTTGCCAGGCTAATTTAAGCACACTTTTATGAAGCCAGTATGACAAATGGTACCTTTATCTCTTCCGTTCACAGTGAAAAGAAAATGTAATAAATTCGTTGCTAATTTTATTAAAAATCGTGAAAATGGTCTTCCAAGAAAACTTATACATGATGGGACATGAAAAGAAACAGAAAACGAGCTTACAATAATTGCAGAAAGAATTTTGAATACATTGTAAGTATTTTTTATGATATTTCAGAATATTTAATGATATTCTGATCTCTGCTTATTTATATTAGACGCGATTCTTAGAATAATCCCGCATTTGAAACGAATTTTGTGAAATCCCTAAATGAAGGTACTTACGTAACTAATGTAATAGTACCGGCCATTTGGGTAATATTAAAGAATCTTTCTCTAAGAAAAACCACATTCGTTAGCAATTCTGAATGTTAAAGTAGTGCCAGTGCAGATAGGAAAGGTAATAGACGATCTAGGAGACGGCCAGATGTTATGTTTGTAATGAAACATAATGGAAAATATTATGAACTTTTATTTACTGAATGCTCACGTTTATCATGTACAATGTAAAAGAAAAGAGATAATCAAGTGAAACTATAGTGCGAGGTCAATGATAGGATGTACTGGACTCGTAAAAGTTGCAAACCTGATAAGAATGAATTTGGGATTATTGGGATGCAGATAGCTGGAAAGAAATTATATTTAAGTGTCCTTATAAGGGATATGAGCGAGGTCTATTGATATTATCATCTTTATGAATTAAAAATTCTGGTTTAACTGTCAGATTCGTTCATTGTAGAAAAATTTATAGAATCATTACTGATATTGTGAAATATTCTAATTGTTAATATAAGTATGCACCTTTAAAAACATCAAATCAAAATGTAGAAAAAAGCTCTACAGTTTCTTCACCTAAGCGAGATAACTAGATTTTTTTTATATTTTATGGACTATTTTAATAAAATTTTTTCTTGGCAAATTTGCGAGACTGCGTAATCTAGAAAAACACGTGATTTGTTTCTTTTGAATATCGCAAAATGAATTAGTAAAAATTTATTATCTGTATCATGAAAAACGTAATCTTGTATTAATGCTAGCTGGCAAAAGTGATTAGCATTAGAGATTATAACGCACATATGATTTGATCGAAATTGTATTACTAGCTGATCTCTCATGCTATTAATGCGTAAATTTATTTTTAATGCTATGTCCTATACCGGGGGTGAATTTCTTCTATACAAACTTTTTTTGCGCAAAATTATATCTAATAAAATGTTCTATTCTAACTATAAATACATTATTGATAGATTACCTGAAAGTCTTGTTAAGAGAGCGTGTTAGAGACTCTTGCATCATTCTAAAGACCCTGTCATATTAGAATCTATTTCTGAGAAGTCTGAATGAATTGAATCCTATTTGAGACACATATAGAGGTTTATAAGAACTTATTAAATAGGAAACACAAAATTATAACTTAGGAAAAAATATTGCGTTCTTAAAGCTGGCCAAAATGTAATGTATTCCTAGTAATACTGGCTATATATGTTACAGACATTGGAACCTAAACTAATAATACTACTCAACCGGAAGTACTAAAGTATGATCATAAAGAAGAGAATAATCATCAAGTTATGAATGAGCTTAAAATACTATCTCAGAAAATATATAATTTATTTAAATTTATTACTTTCACATTGATACTTCTAAGATATTATGCTATTAGTTACTATATTCTTTTAAAATTATTGAAGCAATTATCTGAATTAATTATAGTATAGGTCAAAGCTAATATAATTAGAATTATTATAACTTTTGATGAATAGATTAATATTAAATAAGAATATCTTTTTAGGATTGTATTAATTACTTCATTTAATAAAATATTAATTTAGAAAATAAAAGATATTAGTAATTAACAATCTAAAATTGATGATATTATAAAATTAATTAAAAATTTAATGATAATACTAAATCAAAATAAGTAAAAATTAATTGCTTTATTTTGACTCTGCTAAAAAATATGCTGTAACAAGGTAAATTAATTAATTTTATTATATTTTAAAATCTAAAAATATTAATAATATTAATTATGTTTTACCCTTTTTAGATATTAATTAAAAATAGATTATTTAGATAAAGTATTTTGCTTTGTATAGTATATTAAATAAATTTGATTATAGAAAATATTTTAAAGAATCATCTCAATTTTAAACAACCATCAAAAGATGTAGTTCATATTATAAGTTATTTTTATTCTTCTATATATTTTATTAGATTATTGAGAAATGAACAAATGTTATATTATAGTTAAATAATAGCATTAATAACTTCAAATGAAATATATTAGAATAGTTACTATTTTTGTTTTCATAGTATTTAAAAATAGAAGTAGTTATAAAGGTAAATAAGAATATACAATTTCTTTTTTTTACAAATTTTATATTAATATTTGATAAATGTTTTAGACTTTAATTACAAAATATTTATTTAAATGTATTTGAACTCTAAGTATTTCTCATACTAGAATATAATATTTTATTAACATTTATAATATAGAATTAATACAAATAATGAAAATAAATACCTTTCATTAGATATAATTAAAATTGTTTAAAATTTCAAATTCTGAAGTCAATTATATAAACTTTAGAATTTATTATTAATATTATGTAATACATTAAATAAATTATAAAAAAAATAGTATACTTCTATTTAAAATTACACATTATTTTAGTTGGATAATTAAAATTTTTGCTTCTCGTAAAAATAAAAAATTTGGTATTATATAATAACAAAATTAGATATAGTGAAAAGAATCATTACTTTTAT